AAAGACCAGACCTAAGCCATTCTGAACTGAAGAGAACCTGCCTCAGTTCCAAGCTGTTCAGGGAGATGGTGTCTGTGAGCCATCTGGATTATCCAATATAGCATTCAGTGATTCTTACAATTATGGAGTCCCCCATTATTATTAATCTACTAGAGGCCCAGTGCATGAAATTCATGTGTGTGTGTGTGTGTGTGTGTGTGTGTTCGTGTGTTCCTCAGCACAGCCTACATCCTCTCCAATCTGGGACCCTTTGAGGGACATCCCTCTCACAATCCAGGACTGTTGGCTCCCAACCACTCGCCTGCCTGCCTGATTGCCAGCCTGATCATGCCCTAACTACTCCCCTGCCAGCCTGATTGACACCTAATTGCTCCCCTGCCAGCCCGATTGTCCCTAACTGCCTTCCCCTGCTGGCCTGATCACCCCCAACTGCCCTCCTCTGCTGGCCTGGTCACTCCTAACTGGTTGCCCCCAACTGCCCTCCCCTGCTGGCCTGGTCACCCCTAACTTCTCTCCCTTGCCAGCCTGGTTGCCCCTAACGGCCTTCTCTGCTGGCCCGATTGCCCCTAACTGCCCTCCCCTGCCAGCTTGGCTGCTCTTAACTGTCCTCTCCTGCAGACCCGGTCCCCCCCCCCCACCCAACTGCCCTCCCTTTTAGTCCTGGTCCCTCTCAACTGCCTTCCCCTGCCAGCCACCTTGTGGTGGCCATCTTGTGTCCACATGGGGGTGGCTATCTTGTGTGTTGGAGTAATGGTCAATTTGCATATTGTCTCTTTATTATATAGGATAGGTGCATTACCACCAAGCTACTGAGCCTAGTATAGCAGAGAAGTTAAGGTAGTGCAGTACTTAAACACATAAAGATTGGGTCATATGACCTGAGTTTGAATTGCAGCTCTGCAACTGAAATGATTAATCTAGGGCAACTTGCTTACCTTCTCTGTGCCTCAGTTTCCTCATCTATAAAATGGAGCTAATAATAGTGCCTACCTCAAAGGTTTATTGAGTGACTTTAAATGAGTTAGCCTTTTATAACGGCTCAGAAGAGTGGCTGGGACATGGTGATATCAAGGTGATCATTAAATAATGAACTCTTAGTGGGAGTTCTGAAAGATAATAATAAACTTCTATTTAGCCCCTTCTAGATCCCTAATTCAGAAAAACCATTACATATACAATGTTATATGCTAATTATATGACAATAAAGCTGGAGAGGAGTGGGAGAACAATGTTTGTTTTCATGGGGCTTCCTTTTTTTAAGCATAGAGAGTCTTACAAGAACCCATTGGGGGAGCTCATGGTAGCCCCAATTTTGAAGAAGAAGAAGAAGAAATATAGGTTCCAGTGGTCTAATGGCAAATCAAAATTATGCAAATAGCAGGTGGCATGGGGAGGCTCTAACCCTAAAGCTCACCATCTTTCTACTATGTCATGCTGTCAGCAGTAATATTTTAAACAATTCTTCACTTTGAGTATTCATCAGCATCACCTGGAAGGCTGATTAAAACACAGACTGCTGGGCCCCACCACCAGAGTTTCCAATCCAGCATGTCTAGAATGAACCTGACAATCAGCACTTTTAAAAAATCTGAGGTGATGCTAATACTGCTTGTCTGGGGCCACACTTTGGGAACCACTGCTTTCAGAATTCAATTCATATGACAATCAGAGCAAGAAATTCAGCCCTGGCTGGTGGCTCACATGTTTTGAGCATAGTCCCATACACCAAAAGGTTACAGGTTGAGAGAGAGAGAGAGAGAGAGAGAGAGAGAGAGAGAGAGAGAGAGAGAGAGAGAAGAAGAAGAAGAAGAAGAAGAAGAAGAAGAAGAAGAAGAAGAAGAAGAAGAAAGAAAGAAAGAAAGAAGAAAGAAAGAAAGAAAGAAAGAAAGAAAGAAAGAAAGAAAGAAAGAAAGAAAGAAAAAAGAAAAGAAAGAAAGAAAGACAGACATTTAGCAGCCTTAAGCATCCACTTAGGTTTTCCCTACTCAGGTTTGTTTTAGAGCTATGCACTTTCTGGTTTACCTGCCCTGTTTCACCATTTTAAAATATTCTTTTTCAAAAAGACTTATTTCTGCCAAGCAGCTTTCATTTTGATGATTTTCCCCTGCTGTTCCATTTTCATTCCTCATCTACCCCTGTGGTGGAAAAAGCACTGAAACGTGAGACCAATGATCTAGTATCTAGTCTGGCTCCACCACTTCTTAACCAATGATGCCCTGGGGACATTTACTCATCAGTAAAGTAGGGATATTTGATTTTTGCTTTGCTGATCCCACAGCAAGATGATATATGTGAGCATAGTTGACATGAATGTCACATGGCCACACCAGAATTTGTATCCCATGATTGATAATCTGGAGGAGTTTTCTCACTCTACTTCTGCCAGTTGTATAGGCAGCAGTTCTCAAAGTGTAATCTCTGAACCAACATTGCTTGGAAGCTTTTTAGAAATCTCTATTCTCAGTTCCCATCCCAGCCCTACTACATTTTGGGAAAGGACCCAGATATCTGTGTTTTAACAAGCTCTCAAGGTGATTCTCATGCATATTCCCTGATTTTGTGATTTTGAGCACAAAATTCAGAGGTAGGTACAAATCCTTGCTTAGACACTTCTTTGAGCAAGTTACTTACCTCTCTAAGCCTCAGTTTCTTGATCTAAGAAATGTAGCTAAGATTAGAATCTCCCTTTCATAGAATTGGTTGAGAAGCTTAAGAGAGTGAATGTATGTAAAGTACATAGGGACCTGGCACACTATAAGAAGTCAGTGCAAGTTTAGCTCTAATCATTTTTAAACAAACTATTGTGGCTTTTTGACAACATGCCCCCAGTGCTTACTTTTTGAAGGACTACCAATTGTGTTTTACCCTGTTGAAAAGTTCTCTCTAGATTTTATGTGCATGTATGTGTGTTGTGTGTATATTTTATTTATGCTATTGTTTGTTTGGAACTAGCAAATATTTGCTTTAGCCAATGTAGAGTACTTGGTCCTGCTACTTTTTTGAATAAGAAAGGTATTTCTCTGTCATTAATAATGCCTCTTTAAATAACATTCCTAGGGAGTGTGTTTTTTACATTAGCATCGCACTGTATTATTTTGGCAGTTGTACTCAGGATTTCTAGCCTTTTTACTGCCTTCCTCAGATACCTTTTCTCATTGTTTCATAATATATAGATCCTGTTTTCTGAAATATATGCTGCTTCATTTTGCTAATTCTCTACCTCTCTTAAATTTCCATGCAGAAGTGTCTTCAAATAGATACTTAAAAAACACACGCACAACTAAATATCAGAAACAAACCCTCACATGTGTGGCCATTTGTTATTTTACAATACAAAGGTGCCCATATCATTTGATGGGGAAAAGACAGTCTTTTCAACAAATGGTGCTGGGAAAACTGAATATATGCGTGCTAAAGAATGAAGTTGGACCCGTATGTTACACCATAATCACAAAATGAACTCAAAGTAGATTAAAGTGTCTAAACATAAGAGCTAAAACTATGCAAAATGAAATAAGTCAGAGAAAGATAAATATCACATGATCTCACTCATTTGCAGATTATAATGAACAACATAAACTGATGAACAAAAACAGACTCAGAGACAGAAAAGCATCGATCAGATATTCAAACCTCTGACGGAAGGTAGGGGAGGGTGAGGGTTAGGGGAAGAGATCAATCAAAAGACTTGTATGCATGCATATAAGCCTAACCAATGGACACAGACACCAGGGGGAAAAGGGCATGTATGGGAGTGGGGTGGGGGCAATGGGGGATATGGACACCTATATAATACTTAATAAATAAAGAATCAATTTAAAAAGCTAAAACTATAAAACTCTTAGAAGAAAACAAAGCGGAAAATCATGACATGATTTCTTAGATATTACAGCAAAAGCACAGGCTACAAAATAAAAATAGATAAACTGGGCTTCATCAAAATTAAAAACTTTTGCGCATCAGAGCACACTATTAAGAGTGAAAAGAAAACCCATAGAATAGGAGAAAATACTTGTAAATCATAGATCTGATAAAGGATTAATATCTAGAATATATATAGAGCTCCTAAAACTCAACAACAAAAAACTCCCAACAACCCAATTTAAAAAATGGGCCAAAGATTTGAAGAAAATTCTCCAAAAGAGATATACAAATGGTTAATAAGAATATGAAAGATGATCAACATCACTAATAATTAAGGAAATTCGAGTCAAAACCACAAGGATATGCCATTTCACACCCATTATCAAAACAACAGAAAATAACAAGTGATTGTGAAGATATAGAGAAACTGGAATCCTTGTGCCTTGCTGGTAGGAATGTAAAATGGTACAGCCACTGTCCAAAAACAGTTTGGTAGATCCTCAAAAAGTAAAACAGAACTACCAAATAACCCAGCAATCCCACAAATATATATATATATATATATATATATATATATATATATATATATATATATTCCAAAGAATTAAAAGCAGGGACTCAAACAGATACTTGTACACCAATGTTGAAGATATTATTTACAATAGCCAAAGGTGGAAATAATCCAAATGTCCATCACCAATGAATAAACAATATGTAGAGTATTATTCATCCTTTAAAAAGAATGAAATTTTGATACATGCTACAATATGGATGAACATCAGAAACATTATACTAAGTAAAATAAGTCAGACACAAAAGAATAAATATTGTATGATTCCACTGATGTGGCAAATTCATAGCAACAGAAAGAACAGAAGTTATCAGAGACTGGGGGAAGGGGTATGGAAAGTTATTTTTTAATGGGTATAGAGTTTCTATTTGAGATGATGAAAATGTTCTGGAAATAAACAGTGGTGATGTGTGCACAAAATTCCAAATATATTTAATGCCAGTGATTTGTATACTTTAAAATGGTAAGTTTTATGTTGTTTATTTTACCACAGTAAGAAATTCTTAAATAAACACACACATGCTTACACACCAATGAAGGAAAACAAGTACTTTACCTTCCAGAGATGTAGCCAAAACAACGTGAAGATGAATGACAAGGAATATCTTGAATATCAGTAAAAGTTCTTCAGGTCTGCCAACATGGCCACACTGCCCGCCAGAGAAAAACATCCTGGAATAAAATAAGTGGAAAATATATCATCACATCTTGCCATAATCACAACAAAGCAATACCAAAAGGTCATGTCTTCAACCAGGAAAACTGCAATCCTGCTTTCTTTAAATAACTATAGTTATAAATCAATGGCAATGCCAGGTGGCTGCTGGCTACAAAAAAGCAAAACCTATGTTTATTATAGGAGGACCACCCAATGGGATATTATATTATGTTAAAAATGACAAGCAAGGTTGACCATGTGGATTTATGGAAATCATCAACACATGCAAAATATCAAGAAGAAATTAAAATCCAAAATACTGCATATATAGGGTGTCCCCTCAAAATATATACACACACTTCATTTTTTAAAATGTATTTTATTGGTTTCAGAGAGGAATGGAGAGAGAGAGGGAGAGAGAAACATTAATGATGAGAGAAAATCATTGATGAGTTGCCTCTTGCACACCCACACTAGAGATCAAGCCTGCAACCAGGGCACATGTCCTAATGGGTAATTGAACCATGACCTCATGGTTTACAGGTTGACACACAATTAATGAGCCATGCTGGCTGGGCTGTATACACATAATATGAATTATTATAAAGGCAGTGTTTATTAAAGTACATTTCATTTTCAAAATTGAGCTATAAGCTGGTAAAGTGTGTACATATTTTTTGGGACACCCTGTATAATTATTACCAAATAAAATCGAGTTAAAAACTATGCTAAGAATTAGAAGGGATCAAAGAATCTTATAAATAATCTACTCCTGTTTATATGTCCTAGATTATAAAAGGATGGGTACATTACATTTCCTCTTAATTACATATTAGTTCATTATTATTGCTTCCATTTTTAGTAGTCAAGAGGACAGTCAACATTTTTTTAAAAAGCAAAGTTTACATCAGAACTGAATCTAAGAACCGATTTTACCAGTCATCATTCATTCAACAGATATTTATTGAAGGCCAACATTCATCATATGAGAGGTGAGGTCTGAATAAGAGATACATGTGGTGGAGGCAGGACAGAGGCTTAGGGGAGGTAGGCACACAGAGTTAGAATTGTAAATGCTAAGTCTGTGTCTGTCCCTTTCACAGCAGGAGGCAATGACAGCCCAATGAGAAGGCTTCCTCTCTGTGACCACAGGGGAAGTGGCTGGGACAGTCCAGGCTGTGTGTTCTCAGCTGGTAGAGCTCCAGGCCACAGGGTACCCATAAACCCTGCCAACTCTGCCTTCTACCAAATTAAGATAGAGTGTGTGTGTGAAGCAGTGAAGACTAAAGAGAGTAGTCACAGGTCCTGGCCACTCAATATCTGAGTGACATTGGACAGGTTATGTACAATGGTCAGGATTCCCCATTTAACAAATTTTAATAAGAGCACAAACCGACCTGATAGTGTTCTTGTATTGAGTAAACAAGAGATCTTTGCATAATGGCTGGTACTGTGAAGGCACTATAAAAGCTAGTTGTCCTCTGTACTCAGTCAAATAATATTTGCACCTAGTATGTACAGGGTCAGAGAGTGCAGGGATTATAGGGTTGAGGGCATAGAAAGATTGGGATAAATCACAAATTCTTAGTCTCAAAGAAAACTGGGCAATTTTTAAGAATCCTATATCACCAGTACCAGGGTGGTGATACTTTCCTGGTCTCAGACCAGGAGGTAAATCCTTCTTCCAAAGAGGGCTTACATGTTTTAAATCAATAAATTGTTACATATTAGTCTCTCTATATAAAAGCCTGATAAGCAGATTGTCCCCTTGAGAGTTTGACCAGGAGACTGAGTTCAATCGCTCGCTATGATATGCACTGACCACCAGGGGGCGGCGCAGAACAAAGGAAGGCCCTGGTAGGCAGCTGGAAGGAAGATCCTTATTGGCCCTGATCGTGGGCCAGGCCAAGGGACAATACCCATACAAGAATTTCATGCACCAGGCCTCACGTATATTAATATGCTACATTAATATATTGTAAACTGCCTGTGGTTTGTTGTTCCTCTTCAGCACTTTTACCTTCTCTCTGTTCATAATGGCATATTATTGATCCTCAATAATGAGTCACTCAAAAGAGAATGCTAATATAATTATGCAAAAATGTAGCAATGCCTCTCTGGAGGAAAATGTGTCTGCTACAGCTACACACAATATTAATGAACCTTATACATAAAAGAATGCACATTGTACATGATTCCATTCATATGAGGAACAAAAGCAGACAAAACTAATTGATGGAGTAGGAAGTTGGAAGAGTAGTTATCCTTGGAAGAGGGAGGGGGTGTAATAATTAGGAGTAGGCACAAGGGGGCTTCTGTTACATGGATGTGTCCAGTCCCTGAAATTCACTGAATTGTACAGTTATATGTATATTATAAAAAGCTTCATTTAAAAATTAAAAATATTAATTTATATCTTATTTCTGAACTCAGTTCCCCTGAGAATTTGTTTCATTAGAGAGAGAGAGAGAGAGAGAGAAAGAGAGAGAGAGAGAGAGAGAGAGAGAGAGAGAGAGAGAGAGAGGTTATAATGCATGCAATTATAGCAAACATCGACATGAGAGAGATCATTGATCATTGCCTTCTGTTCTTGCCCTGACCAGAGATCAAACCCATAATCTAGGTATGTGCTCTGACGGGGAATCAAATCCACAAATTTTCAGTATATGGCCTGACACTCCAATGAACTGAGTTACACTGGCCAGGGCTGCAAACACATTCTTGAGTTCTGCCAACTCCTAGGGTAGGACCTAAGTGGCATATAAAATATTGACAGTTAAATTAGTCATGGTACACAGTGACTAGTTATTATGGGCTAGAGCTTGGGCCTCTGATCAAAATAAACCATGCCGTTCATTGAAGAGAGCTTGTACTCCACTCTCAAATGAGAGCAGGAAATGGCAGAATGAAGGGTGATTCCAGCCATCATCCTGAAAAGAGAATAAGGATCAAGAAGAGCATAGTACAGCCAGGCCAGCATGGCTCAGTGGCTGAGCATCGACCTATGAAATAAGAGGTCACAGTGTGATTCCTAGTCAGGGCACATGCCCAGGTTGCGGGCCCAATCCCCAGTGTGGGGCATGCAAGAGGCAGCAAATCAAAGGTTCTCTTTCATCATTGATGTTTCTATCTCCCCCTTCCTCTCCCTTCCTCTTTGAAATCAATAAAAGTACGGTATATTAAAAGAAAGAGCTTAGTAAAGACCAGGCATCATTGAAAATATTGCTTTCAGTTGTTAAGCCTGAAAAATGTTTCCTTAAAGCTGAATATTTACTTCATAATAGAGACGTTTTATGGTATTTGAAGTAATATAGCTTCTATTGCCTTTTGCATAAACTAGAGAACATTCTGTTAGGTCATAAGGTTCCTAGGATCTTTGATCAAAGAGAAAAATCTGTGGCTTTTTAAACTCTTACTCATTATACATTTAAGGCATTTTAATCTTTTCAGCTAGAACTTTTCTTCATCTTCTGGTGCAAGTTGTATTAACTCAGTCCTATCTAGGTAATCAATAAAAATTATTTGAAGAGTTACTGGTTCTTAGCACATTTTTAAGGTGCTAAGGACGGCTGGTGAGATAGTATCAATTACGGAGAAAACTATTTCCTAGCATTTAAATAGTGAAATCTAGACCTTGACACTGGACAATTTCTCATTAAAAATTATCAAAGAATTATCTTGGTCCAGGGCCCCTTTTATGTTTGTGGATTCTTATGTTAGTGGCAACCTCTAGGATTGTATAGTGCACAAGCTACATGACTATATGCCATGGCCCTACTTGTAACATTCTAATAAATTGTTCTAGATCTTTTCAATTTTATTTTAAATAGTATCACTGTTATATTTTTAAAATCTGTATCAGTATAAGCTTGAATGGCAATGAATGATAAATCTATCCTTAGATATAGAATAAAGGATAAGATTAAAAGGGGGAAATAATTTGATACGATTGTAGGACAGGTCTGGGTAAGATTTACTTTCTGTTACCTCTAGTCAACTGGCATACTTTGATTATACCATGGCTGTTGTGATGAATGCAATGATCAATATTTTTACTTCAATAATAAGATATATGATAATTGTTCCCTACATTAAAAAAATTTTTATGCCTTTGAAATATTTACATTGAGTCTTAAGTGTTGGCTAGCAAGACTAGCACAAGGGGAAACTAAAAAGGGAGATGACAGAAAAGGTTCTCAGTGCAGATAAAGCAAGAACTAAAAGGTGAAAAAGCAATTAAGTTAGATCATTCAACTGTCAAAAAAGTCAGAGAAACTCAGGGTTGTTTTAGATTCTTTTAGAGTCTTTGGTTTCATTAGTTTTTTAAAAGAATCGGGAAACTTAGTAAAAGCATAATTAAATTTTGATTAAGCTCTTAAGACCCTGATATAGCAAATATCTCATAAAAAACAAATGTCTTCAGTGTTCCAGGAATATGTTAGATTCAATTATTTTGACCAAACCTTAGGCTAAAGACAATAAAAAAGCATTTTCTTAAACACATCAAAGACTTGACAAGATAGGAAAGAATCACCAGGCCAAAGGTGAAGCCAAAGTAGGAACTCAGAAGGGTAATTTATGCAAAGGAGCTGCTTTTGCCTGAGTACATGAATCTACTGAGGCAAACTTGAGCTCTAGATATGAAATAAAAAGTAAAGTTCAAAGACATGAAGAAAAGTTTGACATGTACTTAAATAAAACTCAAAGAGTAGAGGGTGGGGCAGAGTCAATGTTTGAAATGATAATAACTGAATGACCCCAAACTAGTGTTAAACACCTACCCACAGATTCAGGAAGCCCAAATAATCTCTACAATAAATAAAAGAGTTCTATAGCTAGTGAAATTGAAAAAAAAAATCCAAAAAAAAAAAACAAAGAGGAAATCTTGAAAGCAGCCAGAGAAAACAAGACAGTTAATCTTCAAAGGACTGGATGTTAGACAGACAGCTATTTTCTTAGAAGCAACAATGGAAGCCAGAACACAAAATTGTTACATTGTTCATTGCCTTCAAATCTTTACTGAA